GGGTTGAATTTTCAGTTGATTTGATATGGAATACAACATATATTAAATTACAGATAAAGCAGGCGATAAAATTATAAATAGTAATTTTTTTTTACAAAATTATATTTCCAATAAATCTAGCTAGCATTAGCAACATATTATTTAAAATTATATTGCTTATGCTTATTCAGGTAGCGTAAAATATATTTATTTTAATCTTTATCATATTTATAAATAGTAGCCTGATTTTATATACCATGTATAGAAATCGTGATTTCTTTGCCCCAAAAAAGCATAAAAGGGACGAGATTTTATAATTATATCAACTTTTTATTTATTTAATGGTTTTTTTGTAGATATATATTTTGTTAGCTAATAAAATTTGCAATTGAAAATTAATTACTTTTAGTTTAGAATTGTGTTGGTAAATTGCTATAAAATAGCGTTGTACTAATAGTAGTGGCGTATCAAGGATTTTTATATAAGGGGGGGGGGGAAATTCTTTTTGGGAGGCATTGCCGTCCAAACCCCTTTTAACTGGCCTACTCCAGCTTTTTCCTAACCTTCGACCGGGTCATATGTTTGAGTTATTATATTAAATTATTCATAATTAAATAATAATTAATTATATTAATATTTTTAGCTTTTATTTACTATATGGATATTTAAAGAAGAATATAGTCCAATTTTTTATTATTTTAAATTAGGTATATTATTAATAAATTTTTTTTTAAATGTAAAATTGAAATATAGTTATGTGTCATTTTTTTTATAAAATTTGTATAAAAAAAACTAGCCTCAGTTTATATTCTCATACAATATAAGTAGAATAAATTTTTTTATTGAAAATACTAATTGTAGTTTGTATAAAATATTAACTAGAAAATAATTTAAACAAGTTTTTATAACTTCTTATCAAATAGAATAATATACAAAAAATTTATTAAATACTATAATTATAATGTGATTTTTAATTTTCGTGGGAAATTTTCCAATTCATCAAGAATTTCGTTTGTCGTTGGAACCAAATCTCTGTGAATATTTAACAGAGCTAACCCATTTAGCCTAGATTTGGAAGGTCCTTTCATTCGTACATGTTTTAATAGGCAAACATGCAAAAATATAAAACAGCTTCAAAATATTTGAGAATTTGATCCAAGGTTTCTTTACACCGATTGGGCGCATCAATAGCATGCTCAATTCGAATTCACTGATTAAATTGATTTCAGTATCAATATCATAGGAATAAAATTTGGCTGAATATTTAATTTTTCCAATAGTGGCATCAGAAAACGAAGAAGGGTCTTTAGGTAACAAAATTAGAAGACTGCTAGACTTGTTTTTTATCTAAAAACCGTACTTTTATTTGCGATAAAAAAATATTTAAGAATAGGATGAAATGGATATTTTATAATATTTTTCAGTTGAGTCAAATAATTGCCTAGGTGCGAGGTTTAATTAGTGTTATATCATAAGATTTAGCTTTAGATTCAACATCTAGATAAATATTATGAAAATATTCATTTACATTCATTCTTATTGTATTTACCTGTTCATATACATTTTCCGCCAAATCAAAAACCTGAACCAAATCTAAATTTGGTTTTTGTAAATTTCTACAAAGTGAAGAATGTTAATATACTCACAGGGTAATTCCATACCAAATCGATAACTTTTCGGCTCGACCTTTTTAATTTCGATAAAATTTTGTATACTAAGAGAATATCATTAGAAAGCATCGAATCCAAAATTTTAGCCTCCTAGTACTCATAGTTCCTGAGATATCAATGGTCAAAAGTGCCAAAAATGACGTTTTTTCGTAAAATGCGATTTTTTAAAATTGAGATAAGTTAAAAAATAATGATTTTAAAAATATAAGTTATATGTCAATTTATAACTCTATTAAGGGTCTTTTATTGAATATTAAAATTTTTTTCAAAATAATATTGTTGCGGTTTTTATTTAAGTTATAAATTTTAAACATGAAAACTCCAAGTGTTTCGCTTTCCAAATTTTTTTGAATTTAATATTTTCTTATTCTCTAACCTTATATCTATTCATAAAAAAAATTTAAACTTGGGACAGCCATGGGTTTTTTAGTTATTGCAATTTAAAAAATCAAAAAAAATATAATATTTTCAAAAATAGATGGCGCTCATTTATAAAATAACGCGTTTTGTTAAAATTATTATTTTTTTTAAACTTTTCTCCATTTTAAACATAAATAATAAGATTTTCCAGCATTAATATTATGAAAATATATTATTTAGATCAATTGATAGACTTACTTATTATTATTATTACTTTATTGATAACTTGTAAAAATTATTAGTTTTTATAATAAATGATTAATTTCCTAAAAAAATAGTTACAATTCCTATATAAGAAAATATAATTAATTTCTGAAAGATAATAACAAGTTTTCATGCACCAGCCTTGATATTAATTAATTTTTATTTTACAAATATTTCAATATTAATTTTTTCTTAAAATTATTTATGTATAAATATAAATGTGCAAATCCTTTTAAAGAATCTAAACACTTTTATTGTAAAAAGAACCTGCGTAAAGTTACGACGTGGATGACACAATTTCCAAACATTGAGGCGGAACACTATATTTGTGATAAATGTCGTAAGCGTTTATCACAAAAAAATATTGAAAATATAAATTCTGATAGCGAATATGTAAATAATATCCCCACAGCATCCGCATCAATAGATACAATCAATTAAACCTTAAACGAAATTGGAATATCTCCTATTAAGAAAAAAAAACTAGCTGAAAAAAATTATCCAAAAAAAAGATAGCAAAAATATCAAAAGCTCTTTCAGATATAATAATTAACAATCCAGAATCGGACACAAAAGACAATAATGATATACTCAACAATATGAAATTACATTATCCTAATTTATCTAAAAATAAAAAATATCAATTGCTGACCATTCTGCCTCCTAATTGTAGTGCAAATAAAATAAAAACGGAATTCAACGCTACATATCATATGGCATATAATTCCAAAATCATTTTAAAAGAAAAGGGGATTCTTTCAACTCCAAATCGAAAGCCTGCAAAATATCTCAATCAAAACAGTTGATATTGTTAAAAGTTTTTTTTGCAGTGATAAAGTTAGTAGGGTATTACCAGGAAAAAAAGATTGCTTATCTATCATTGAAAAGGGGGAACGAGTGAACGCTCAAAAAAGGCTAGTTCTTAATAATTTAAAAGAATTATATAGTCATTTTAAGGAGAGTAATTCAAGCATAACAATTGGATTTTCGAAATTCGCAAGCTTAAGACCAAAAAATTGCATATTGGCAGGGGCTAGCGGAACACATAGTGTATGCGTTTGTAGCATACACCAGAATATTAACTAATGATTTTAGGCTGTGAATTAGCAACATTGACTAAAAATGGTGAGGATATATTAACAACTTATAGAGATGTTATAGGCAGAATGATTTGCAACCCCCCATTACCAACCTGTTATTTTGGTGACTGTAGCGAGTGTCCTGGCTCGACACTCTTAAAAGAACGCATTGAAAAATTATTTATAAAAAATGATATAGCTCTTATTACGTTTAAACAATGGGTTTCGGTAGATAGAACAACTCTGGAGACTATTTCTCAATCTTCAGACGAATTTATTAATTAAGTAATATCTTTCATGAATTTTTATTTATCTATTATATTTACAAATTAATAAAATAATTTTACGAAATTTAAAATTATTAATGCTGGAAAACCTTATTATTTATGTTTAAAATGGAAAAAAGTTTAAAAAAAATAATAATTTTAACAAAACGCGTTATTTTATAAAGGAGCGCCATCTATTTTTGAAAATAATATTTATTTTTTGATTTTTTAAATCGCAATAACTAAAAAACCCATGGCTGTCCCAAGTTTAAATTTTTTTATGAATAGATATAAGGTTAGAGAATAAGAAAATATTAAATTCAAAAAAATTTAACACTTGGAGTTTTCATGTTTAAAATTTATAACTTAAATAAAAACCGCAACAATATTATTTTGAAAAATTTTTTAATATTCAATAAAAGGTCCTTAATAGTTATAAATTGACATATAACTTATATTTTTAAAATCATTATTTTTTAACTTATCTCAATTTTAAAAAATCGCATTTTTCGAAAAAACGTCATTTTTGGCACTTTTGACCATTCATATCTCAGGAACTATGAGTACTAGGAGGCTAAAATTTTGGATTCGATGCTTTCTAATGATATTCTCTCAGTATACAAAATTTTATCGAAATTAAAAAGGTTGAGCCGAAAAGTTATCGATTTGGTATGGAATTACCCCACAAGGAAAAGAAATTTTAATAAAATTTATTTTAAAAAAATAGGTTCTAACCCTAAATCTCGGATTGCTAGACAAACATTAACATCAGTGGACTAGGTGAGCTATTAGAATAGATATTTATTTGCATATATTATAAGTTAATCAAATGAGATTGGTGGTTAATCTACTTATCATAGAATTAATATATCAGGATGTGGTAATGCATATACTTTTATATTAAAAAAAACAAAATTAGGTTTTGTACATAGAAATTAAATTTTTAACAAAGATAAATTTTATATACTGTATATATTTCATATTAATAATCAGAATAACATATTTATTCTATCATTATGACTATTCAATTTTCCCTTTATTTAGATCTAAAATAAAAATTGTGAATAATTAAGACATAAAAAAATTGACTTTTTATGGCTTTTAAATATACTTTTTTAAAAAAAGACGAACTTGTTTGTCTTAAAAGTAAATTAGGAAGTCCTCATTCAAATACTTTAGCCTGTACTAAAAAGTAATTAATTATCTTAAGCCGACCTAGGACACAGCCTAAACCATGGCCTTCACCGATTAATCCTTTTTAGATAATATTCTTCAAAGATTATCAAATTTGGGTAATTTATAAACTTTAAAATTCATAGATTGATGTTTGAGATATTTTTATTTTATATATAATTAAATAAGGAAATAAATAGTGCAATAACCTGAGCATCAAATTCATAAGTTGCAGTCCCTCACCCTCTAAGAAATTTTCTTGATTCTGAGGATCTAGCAAGCATAAACTTAAGCAATCAAATAAATTAAAAAGAAATTCATATTCTTCGCTAGTTTCAGGGTCATGTTTTTTATATATCTAAATTAGCATTTATTATTATTTACATATATGATATATATCTCACAGCTAATTGGCGCAACAATACATCTATGCCACCTAAATTTCCTAGATGCAAGCGATTCCCTGGAAATTAAAATTATTCAATATATTTAAAATTGATATTACCTTCATGATTTTGAAGGAATATTGCAAGTATTTCACTGGTATACAATTTATTAGAATCAAAAGGAAGTTTGAGCTATGATTAAGAATTAAAAAATATATTTAAAAAACGATTCTACTTTTAATCTTTTTATTAACCAAAGTAGTAATTCTTCCTGAGGATTGCCTTCTTTACATATATTTGGATATATTTCTGAAAGATTCTCGATAATAGCTATGAATGTGGGATAAATATTAAATGAAAGAAAAAACATTGTAAATATCATATATATATATATATATTAATAGCCATAGTTGTTAAAGTCATATAAAATGTGTTATGCAAGGAAATGTGTAAAGATAACTACTCCTACCCTAATGTTAAAAATATTCTTTTTGCATTGTCATAAATTCTAATGTTAGGCAATATTTTTCTGGCTAAAATATTGAGTTAGCCGTTTTTAAAAATCGGCTCAAAACAAGCCGTTTAACAACACTAGATTCAACAATAATAAAACTAGAATAAGTATTGAAAATTCCAACATAGTTGAATCATAGAGCAAATCTATAGGAGGTATGAATAAGAAGTCTGCAATGGATATTCTCTTTTCTGCTTCGACTAAGCGATGATAAATTTTAGGAGCATGTGAATAATTTTACGTTGAATTCGTTATCTGAAAAGCGATGGCAGTGTAAAATGGAGAGTTTAAAGGCCAACAGATATCAAATGGTCTAATAAATAATTCAGGAAAAACTAATTATCTGCGATATAGAAGCAATTTCATTGCTTATAGAATTAAAACATCTTTTTATTTGGTTTGATGTATTGAATGCAAGTGAATTTAGTAAGAAGGGTCATAGACGTCTAAGAAAATGGCTTTCAGAATTCCCTCGAATCAGCGAAAGAGCTTGTGGAAAAATTGTTGAGGAGTGCTTTTCTTTTGTTGTATACAATATTTAAATAATTTTTTATCCTAACAACCTTTATGATTCTATCATCTTCATTGATATAATTTGTTCTTTTCGATTTATCTAATAGATATAGAAGTAACATATTTTCCAAAATTTGATATGATTCGGAATTTCATACATGCAGACTTAATCATGAAGTTTGCCAAACTTTTGAAAGCACTATTTAGAATGTTTAGGCCAATATGTAATGCTTAAATAATATACAACTTAGTTTATTCTTCAATATATTTGATAAACATTTTAAAAAAATGTTAATAGTAAAATATGAAGACGACTAAAATAGTCAAACGAAGAATTTATAAACACTAAAGCATTTATAATAAAAAAATTGAATACACGGAATATATAAATAATTATATTATTATAAAAATCAACTTTTTACCCTGATAATAAGTTAAATAGATTTGTGTGAAAATGTGATACCAATATAAGATAGATAGGTTACAGTAATATTGAAAACGATTATAATGGCGGAGAGCGATTGTTGTTTAAAACTAAGTACACCTTTACATTGAAAATAGAAAAGTTCAAATGCCGATCCCATATAGATTATAGCGTATTTGGGAAGAGTGCCGTTTTTTAATTTAATTTATAACAAATTTCTTATGTCGAAATTTGATTATAAAATGAAATGTGTCTATGTATGGTTTTAGATTTTTTTTACGTACAATTTAAATAGAAAATTTCCAAGATGATTATATAGAATTAGAAAATTAAGAAAGGATTTTAACAATTTAAAAGAAATGAAACCGATTTTAGTATAGATGTCAATATAAAAGTATATTTGATATCGAGGATCAAGATATAAACATGCATAGAATTCATCATTTTTTTAGCTTTAGCGCCCTTGATACTAAGGAAGAAACTAAAATATTGGTAAAATGTTGTATAAGTTTCTTTATTTCAATTGTGCACTAAGAAATAAAAGGAAATAATCTTATATGCGTCTTTTTTTCAAAAAATAGGCTATACTTTTTATAATTATAAATTATCAGTAATATATATAATATATAGTAGACAACATTTACATAACTAGTCCATAATGGATTGAATACAAATTACAAAATATAATTAACTTATGCAGATATGATGGAAAACAATATTTTTTTATTTGCAAATAAATTTTAAAAAAATATGGAAATGTTTTCCATCAAATCTACATGCCATTTATAAAATAAAAGCCTATATGAACCTTTTAAAAAATTATACAAGATCGGTTTGACTATCGCCTAACTTTTTATATAAACCCAGGCTTTCTATCCCGTCAATAAATCTTTATTAACTCTGCGCCCCCCCCTCCCATTACACATGAGCTAGCCAACACCTCTAATAATAGTTTATATACTTATACAACTAGTGCACAAGAACACCTGGTAAATAATTTCATCTTAACTTCATTGAAATGTTTGATACTATTAACATAATCTCTTTTGCAAATAAAAAGGCAAGGAGAATAAATATTTAAATTCCTATCGTTTCTAAAGATTATACAGGCCTATATACATGAAACATGCACTATATTAATTTTTATATGTTACTCATATTTATAAAATAAATTTTAGCATATTAAATGATTTAAGTTTTAATCAAAATGCAAAAAAATTATCAATAAGCTTAAATAAATTGTAGGTGGGGATTTAGGTGGGTGAATTTGAAATTTTCGGGCGAAATGAGCAGAACAGACGTCTATTTATTAAATTCATAATAGTGCATATTTTATAAGTTTAAGTAAAAACACATCAAAAAATTTTTTTTTAATATAGGGCGGGCAAGTTAAACAAAATTTTTAATAAAATGGGCCCCATAAGGCCTCTATGATCGAACCTTAAAAATATTCTTTAGAGTTTTGATTCTTGTACATATTCTAAATTCTTCATTGCTCCCTGAAATTTAAGAATTCAATATTATAATGTGTATAAAATAGTATTATCACATTCCACGGGTTGCTACCAACTGAGGTCTGCAAGACCCAGCCTTAAAAATTTTTGCCTAAGTTGCCCAGCTTGTTAAATTTTGGGTCTGACCCGGCCCAAATTTTTAAAAAAAATTTCTTGTAGCCAGGATTAAAATTTTCTAAAAATTTGCCCGAAATTTGGCTTAAAATTTATGAAAAGTCAGACCCGTCCCTGATGGTTTAAAATTTACTAAAGGTACACCACAGCCCTATTTTTTTCCACAAATTTTCGGGCCATCAGATTTTTAATATCTAATCCATATCTACCCGGCCCTTCCCCCCAACCAATCCTACCTTCAGTCTCATCGTGGCAAGGGAGTGGTAATGTCTTTTGGCGGCTAATAGAGGTTTAAAAGGTTCCCTGTGGTGTGGGTCTAGAATAGGATCACCGTCTCCACGATGAGGTGTAAAAACCACCTAACGGGGTTGATATCAGGAAGGGCACCCGATTGTAAAAACCTAGCTACAAAATTTCATGATATTTAAATCAGAAGGAAAACTGGTCAATGGGTAACCTGGAAATCGCCATTAAATGGAGAAGAAAATTAAAATCCATATATAATTTTTTCTCTATATCTCGTGGATGGCCATCTATTTCTATAACAATCATTTTAAAATCATTGTGTTTGATATATCTGCACTGTATTTGTTAATGGATTATATATTAAATAACTTATTTAATTTCTTGTTAATTAACTATATTATTTATCAGAGTTGTTAAAGTATCTAGATATAAAAATGTGATATCTGTATCTAGATAGATTTTTTAACAAGTATCTGTAACTATTTTAGATGTATCTGTATCTGTTTTTAGATGCATTTTGATATACTTTTATCTAAAGCTTTTTTATATTAAAAATAAAAATACTTGAATGCAAAATTTATTTTATTTCATATATAAATATAATTTATATATATATTAAAAGTTATATATAAAAAAATATACATATAAATATTCATTAAATATTATGTCTGAGTTTATTAATAAATCAGACAAATTTTGATATTAAAATCCATTTCATATCTGCCATTTTTATTTTCATTGAAATTGGTTGTATTTATTTTACTAATTTTAAAAAATTATTTTAGATAAATATTAATAGTGATGAAGAGGAAGAAGTAATAATCAATAAATCATCAATCAGTGTTGTTAAACGACTCGTTTTGAGCCGATTTTAAAAAAGGCTAACTCAATATTTTAGCCGGTTAAATATTGTCTAAGCCTCGAAATTTCGATAGTATTTATCTAGACCGTTGTTCTTCTACAAACAAAATCTTCAGGCTGGGTGAAATATTGAGTTAGCGGTTTTCAAAAATCGCCTCAAAACGCACCGTTTAACAACACTAGCATCAACAAGTTCAGACTTTGTTTTTCCATGGCCAATATATAGAGCATATTTTAAAATAATATCTCAAAATAAAGAAAACAGATAATGCTTGCCATGTCTACCAAAAAATATGAAAATTAATGTTAGCATTTCCTCAACTTGCATTAAGTTTTACAATTGTAATTTAAAATTTTAAGAGAAAACATCAAGCATTGTTAATGAAAATAAAAAAGGGGAAGGAGAATAAATCTTTTTAAAAAATATTAGACTAGGCTCATCCATCGTCTACTTATATTTTTTGCCAAGAAACCTCAGACTATAACCCAAACTCCTTTAGTTAATTTAATAACTTCTTCTATTCTCTCCCAAAATCCTACCTTCAGCCTCATCGTGGCAGGGAAGTGGCAAGTCTTTTGGGGACTAATGGAGGTCTAAAAGGTTCCCTGTGATCTGGGTCTAGAATATGATCACCGTCTCCTCGACAGGGTGTAAAAACCACGAAGGGGTTGATGTCAGGAAGGGTATCCGATTGTAAAAACCTTGCTACAAAATTTCCCTATGGTTACACAAAGCATGGGCGGGGTACAATTGGGCCTCCTCATCCACCTACGACAAAAAGAAGGATGGGAAACCTGGTGGAACCACGATTCATGAAAATGAAACTTATGACGGGCATAAACGACCTAATAAGTGGAGAAACCAGTCTACGGGGGATCAAGTAAGGGTCGCGACATAGAATGTCGGGAGTATGACGGGAAGAGTTAGAGAAGTGGTCGATGTATTGCATAAAAGGCATATGGATGTGTGCTGCATACAGGAGACCAGATGGAAAGGAAATGGCGCAAGAATAATTGGCAAGACTAGTGATAATTAAAATTCTTTTGACAAGGAAGTAATGATGGTAAGGCTAGAGTTGGGGTATTAATTGAGGAGAAATTAGTAGATAAAGAAGTCGAAGTGAGAAGGCTAGATAACCAGGTG